GCCTCGGCCTCCCAGAGAGCTAGGATTACAGGCGTGAGCCATGTGTATAACTTTTGACTCCGCTGAAACTTGACTACAAATAGCCTACTGTTGATCAGAAGCCTTAGCAATGACATAAAGAGTTAATGCATATTTTGTGTATTATATATATTGTATACTGCATTCTTACAATAAAGTAAGCTAGAGAAAAGAAAATGTTAAGAAAATCATAAGGAAGTGAAAATATATCTACTATGCATTAAGTAAAAGTGGATCATCGTGAAGGTCTTCATCCTCATCTTCATGTTGAATAGGCTGAGGAAGAAGAGGGCTTGGTCTTGCTGTCTCAGGGTAGCAGAGGTAGAAGAAACTGTGTCTGCATATAAGTGGATCAGAGCAGTTCAGACCCATGTTTAAGAGTCAACTGTATAATGTTTAGTAAAACCTTTGGAAACTAAAATTGGAAAGTCAATGGTTTCTATAGAAAAGACAAATGACCCCAAATTCTGGTCTGGTATGATTTGTTAAAAGTTATTTTTTAGGATGTGTCCTAGAGTTGGCCCAGGGTTAGAATAAATTCTAAGCTATCTTCACTCTCAGTACTAACGGGTGAAATGAAACACTGTAAAATCTGTATCAGAGCAATGTTTTGTTCGTAATATGCTACTTAAGCCTTCTAGTTAATGAAAATTATAATTTTAAGAGCAGAATGCCAGTATAATGTTGTTTTATAACTTGGTTTTGTTAATTTGTTTATTTTTATATAAATTTATTCAGTTGTTAGATTTGTAGAACTATTGGCCTACAATTTATTTGTAGTGTGACAGCCTTAACATTGTTGCCATTGAGGGTCAATTGCTTGGATCCTGTCTTGGTCCTTTCAGAGTACAGAATTTTCTGAGACACCTTCTCCAGACAGTGACTCGGTGAACTCTGTGGAAGGACACTCTGAGCCATCCTGGTTTAAAGACATAAAGTTTGATGACAGCGACACAGAACAGATAGCTGAAGAAGGTGACGATAATTTGGCTAGTGAGTTTAACTTTCTAACGTTTTGGTTTTTATGGGTCATTACTGTGTATGTATGATAAAATGAGTGTCTTGTTTTAGCTGAAACAAGTCAGCTATACAATTTATGGCTCCACCAAAATGTAAACATCTGATAGCAGTTTTGTCTTAGATACAGTATTTTCTTAAACATCTTATTAGGCAACTGACATTTCTAGATTTTTCCGTAGTATCTAGTTTGCAGCAGCTTAAAAATAACTGAACTAATAATATCGCAGCAGACAACTTTCTCACCTTTTCACTTTGATATCAGACTTTTTCTCTGCAGAACCTCCAATATATTTCTTTA